GCTTGTCGTGTTGAGAGTGCCAGTGAGATATTGCTGTTTGTTTATATATGTTGGATTTTGAAGGGGTGGGGAAGGAAGTCGGTGTAGAAAAGACATTTTTGTATAAGGCGTCGGCTTCTTTGAGGTGAAAAGAGCCGACGAAAGGAAAAAACGTTGGTAACGTTTCGGCCAGATTATCCTTTCAGGATTATATAGAAGGGGATAAATAGGAAAAGGAAGCTAAATTATTAAAAAATTAGACTATGTAAAAATCTTTGATGTGTGGAATGATGATATATGTATGTTATAGATATTGAATATGATTAATGATATTGGCGTAGCTGCGACTGAGTTTACACGTGTCTGTTCTGTAATTGATGCTGTGTTTATCTCTGTTGATGTACCACCAGACCGCATCTCACGATTTCCTAATAATAAAAAATTAAATTAAAATTATAAAAAATAATTAAATACATAATTATAAATAAATAATAGTTATAATTTAATAATAAATTCGTCAATATAATATTTAATTGTGTTATAATTCCTGCTTTTCGCACGTTGATAATTGTGCGGCATTAAAAACCAGCTTCTCATTAAAATGTTGTGTTCGCGGAGGATCAGCGGATTCTCATTTGCAATTCATGTCGAGAAACGTGGTTGTAGAACTCCTACAACCTGATGATGAGCTATAAACTTGAAATCCGGATGTTGAAAACAACTAACTGTGAGTAGGAACTATCTTTTTAAAAAGAACGAAAGACTGTCGCACATTTTTGTCTAGGAGTGTGAACTAGCCTCACCAATTGCTATCTCTCTCATTCTCTCTCTCTCTCTCTCTCTCTCTCTCTCTCTCTCTCTCTCTCTCCCTCTTTCTCTCTCTCTGTTCCCTGTTTCTTTTTGTCGTTTATATCTGTCTGTCTATCGTCTCTATCAACCTTATCTATCTATCTTCCTACCAATATATCAGACAATATATATTTATCTGAGACGCTAAAAAGATAAAATAATACTTAAAAACTTAAAGATAAAAATACATGAAAGGCCAATATGAGATTTTTTTTATCCAATCGTGGCCCCAACTCTTACGTATACATTGAGGGTATTTTTGTTTTTTATACCTATGCACTTTAGTATTCCAAGCTTTTTATTTTATTTATTGTTCTATTTTGGTAAATGTATAAATAATTTGTTTCTTACAGTGGTTGCACCTTTTGTCGGTTTTCCTAGTTTTTGGATGTTTACAAAACAGTATAACATTAGGATTACCAAATCCATTATATTTAGTGGCCAATTGACCAAATTACCTCTTTCAATTAATTAATCTTTTTATGTAAGGTTTTGGTAGAAATGAAAAAGCTAGTGCCACGAGCGGGATTCGAACCCGCGACCTTCGGCTAAATACGAGAGCTCAATTGGTAGAGCAGAGGTGTATTTAGCTGAAGGTCGTGGTTTCGAATCCCGCTCGTGGCAATAGCTTTTTCATTTCAACCAAAACCTTACATAAAAAGATTAATTAATTGAAATTTGGATTATCTTTGAACAAACAAAAACTAATGATATCGGAAGGGTGATTTTTGTTTATCTACTTTATACTAGTGTCTTTCTGTACGAATTAAAGCGTTTTATTAAATGCGTGTGATTTATATAATTCATCCTATATCTTTTTAAAATATTCTTTTTACGTAATGAAATGACGATTAATCCATTTATTTGAAATACTAATATAAAACATTTATTTGAAAGTTCATAATTTCGTGGAAACATTTCCTATACAGTCTAACAATTTTCAAACTTTGTTTTAATAACTGACGTATTTACTAAATTATGTTAATCAAATATTTAAAACAAATAAAGCCTTTTATTGTATTGTTTTATTAATTGCCTAAGGCATCTATCTTGCTGCCTTTTTCAAATTTTTTATTTATTTATTTTTAAGTATATTGTTTCAAATATGTAAGTGTACTGTTTTGTCATGTTTTTACCTCAATTACTATTATCATTATTAATATGTAAACACTGGATCATAACGTATTTTCTAAATTGAAGGTAAGGGTGAAATATTCCCGATTGTGTACAATTAGACTCAAAATAATAACATTTGCTTATGTGATATCAAAAATTGTCGTTATAAATTAACAATGTTTGTAAATCCCAGGCCCTGAAGAAGATCTCAATAAAGTTCGAAACGTTGGCACGTTAAAGAAAATGTTTTTCTGAAACCTACATCACACCAGACCGCATCTCACGATTTCTGAATAATTATAAATTTATTATTACCTTTAGTAAGAATGTGCTAAAGATGAATCTCCCAAAACAAATCATGTTTGGAGATATTTAAGGTTAAGTATACGAACGTTCGTGACAATACTATTAATTCTGGCTAAACGGATAACTGTCGTGCAATCGTCGGGATGTCACAACATGTCCAACATATGCCACAAGCTGCTAGGATTCACGGCCGATTTGTCCCAAAATGTGGGTCAGAACAGGATCAACCCTTTCATCGGGACGAGGCCGTTGCTGGTCTACGTAAAAAAAAGAATGAAAGAAATCTCTCGTTAATCGATTAGTAGGGATTGCATCCTGTCTGTCTAATCATCGCGCATTTCGACAAAAAATCAGCCCGGGCGATTTAATTAATTGTGGGAGCACTGGGACAGACGACAAAACTTACTCTAATTGTGGGGGCCCGAGGAGAGGGCTTATTAAGTCCGTTGACGGTGGTCCATTGACAGCGGAAGAAGGGGGCGTAATTCCGAAAAGAATGGGAATACCGTTTCTCTTTTAGGCTTACCTGTTTCTCAAAATATAAAAATCTGTTGATTCTTTCATAACTCCCATTAGAATGTTACCAGAATGCTGAAGAAACCATAGAGAAATAGTTTCAGCTAATCCCTCTTTTGACCATTTTGGCATAGTGGACCACCATGAAGATAAACCAACAAATAAAAAAGTAACGTCTGAATTATTCAGTACCTTTCGAGGTATTCGCCGTATCATGAGAACAAAGCTATAAAACAACAACAAAAAACACGATAAAACCGTATTTTAATTTATTCTCAAACCGTTATCCCAGATTTCACACCTTTCCCAGTTTGGGGAAAAAGGCGTTTTGATGGATACGAGTTAATTTGTCGAAAAGGTGCCGACAGGTTGGGCGGATTGTCTTTCCTTCGGCGATTTCACGCAAGTCTCACCCGGCTGTGAACTATGGCTTGAATAAAGCTCTTCCCGAGAATTCCATATTTTTGCCCCTTCCATCTGGCATCATGCAAATCGTATTTTTCAAATAGCTTGAATTTATATTTTAATTTTATACGTTTGTTTATGAAACAATAGGATTAAAACATTTTTGTCTATCTTTTTATGTATCTACTCGGGGACACCAACTCCCCATCTCAACCTTCAACCTTTTCAGAAGATCGAAGTCATGATAGCTCAAGTGGTAGAGCAGTGGCAGCCAAAGGTCGTGGGTTCGAATCCCGCTCGTGGCACTACCTTTTCCATTTCAACCAAATCCTTACATAAAAAGATTAATTAATTGAAAGAAGTCTTTCTTTCTCTCTCTCTCTCTCTCTCTCTCTCTCTCTCTCTCTCTCTGACATTCTTTCTTTTCTTTTTTCTTCTCTCTCTCTCTTTCTATTTTTTCTTCTCTCGCTCTCGCTCACTCTCTCTCTTTTTCTGTTTTTCTTTTTCTCTCTCCCTCTCTTTCTCTATTTCTCTCTCTCACTTCCTCTCTCTCTCTCTCTCTCTCTGACATTCTTTCTTTTCTTTTTTCTTCTCTCTCTCTTTCTATTTTTCCTTCTCTCGCTCACTCTCTCTCTTTTTCTATTTTTCTTTTTCTCTCTTCCTCTCTTTCTCGATTTCTCTCTCTCACTTTCTCTCTCTTCCTTTTTTTCGTGCTCACTCCCTCTACCTATCTATCTATTTACCAATATTCATGGGAAGCCAAGAATTAGATGATAGAAGTAAATAATGGCAAATAATAAAATGTCTTTTCGTCCCTGGAACGTCGCGTTGGCGGGAGTATCGGCGGGTTCACTTTTGCAATTCATGTCGAAAGACGTGGTTGTAGAAATCGTTCAAGCTGATGATGACCTAAGGGCTCGAAATCCGGAGCGTTAGTGTGAGTAGGAACTATGTCCTTTCTAAACCTAACTTGTTTCCGAATTATTTATTTGGTAATTGTATTTTACCTAATATTAGATGAAAATGTATAAAGGTGAGTTGTTTCAATACTAACTAGTAATTTTATTTGCGTATCGATTTTTATAGACTTATAAATTAGTTAAAGACGAGGATTTTTACCCGAGTGCGCTTTTCCAAAATTATTTTAACGTTAGACGTCGTGTTAGGTTGGTGTTATTCGCTTGATATATTTCACACTTCACAGTATTCAAAAGTGTCCACAAAATAATCCGAAGAGAAAAAAGAATTTAAGAAAAAGTTAAATTAATAGTCCAAAGATTCAAAATATAGTCTGAGAAGAAGAAAATTCGATTTAATTAAACAATATCACACAAGGTTCTTTTAAATAGATAATCTAGCTACCCTGGCATTGAACTTAAAGATTTATTTATTTATATTTCATTAATTATTTATTATTTTATTATTTATTTATATATTTTTATTTTATGATGATTTATTTATTTTTCACGGACAAAAATTCATGAAGTATATTCCAAATCTATGTAAAACCTTCTTAAACTTTAGCATATTGGCAGTTAAACCCCATGAATGGGCTTTCTTGTATATTCGTTTTGTAATAATAGCACAATAACACATTTAACTAACGGTCGCATGATTTCACTAATTACCTTATAAAAGATCGGCTCGTTTGAATGAATTATTGTTGTGAATAATTCTAAAAATGTACTCCTCATTAATATTGGTTAATTTGTTTTTCCTATTTAAAGAAAATAATACAAGTTATGTAACTGTTCTAATGCTTTGATCATTTAAAAAATCAAACCCAACGTATTTGTTCAATGCCAAACACAACAATTTTTTTAACAAATTTAAACAGATGGCCCTTTAGTTCGAATAAAAAACAGCAAATTTTTAATTTTATTTCTGTAATTTTAGCTCATAGTACGTAGCGAGACAGTTTTAAGCGAGTTTTGATAAACGACGATTTAGCTAGGGAACGCTACGAATCACGATTTGTTTCTAGGATCTCAAATCTTCGACACGAGTGTCTTGCCAATAAAACCTTGTCGAGCGTAGCTTCATCGAAGAATGAAAGATCTCTGAAACAATAGGTGAGTATTTTTTTACCAAAGTCTGAAGACCGGATCCTGCAGTTTGGCATCTTGCAATCCATTAAAGTACAGCGAGAAAATCAAGACTCTTCCTGTATAGTTTCAGATCGATGAAGCAACTCAGGATGTCTACGAAGGACGGCGGATCGAAAACTGATATTTAATGGATAAAAAGCCGCTCATGGCACCACAATTGCCTCAAATAGGTAAACGGTAGTTGTATCTGTTTTTAAACTTTCGATCCGTTGGTAATGATTCTTCTCACTTTTTTAAACGACAATCTGATGTTTAAAACATATTAGTTCAAAGTGGAGATTAAATAATGAAGTGAGGGCATGTATTGCAATAAGAATGTTCCTTCTTTTTCGACTTATTGCAATTAATGCAATGTAACTAATTGCATTTTGAGTATGTGTGTGTTTTGAATAGCTGTTAGTGTCTTATTTTTGGTGACAATGCTTTTTCAAGTAAAATTCTGTTCACTTAAAGGAATATTTAATACGAATGGTTATTAAGAATTATTATTTTGAGCATTCTTCATTTTGCAGAGAAGAAAAGGTGTACCTGTGCTGTGCCGAAGCCGGCGAGGAATCAGTTGCGAGGACAAGTCTCGAGACAGCTCCAAAAGAATACTGTCTCCGTGCAGGCTTCATCGACGGATCTCAACAGCAGAGACACGAGCAGCTCGCAACACACGTCGCCGAAGAACACTCGGCAAGTCAAGGCCAAAGTGGATACATGGAGGACGCCGTCGTACCAAGAGGAGCAAAAAAAGCGACGGGTGAACATATCGGAAAAGCAGAAGAAGGCGGTCAAAGGGAAAGTGCCCGACGATGACAAATATCTGTGCCGCATAAATGCGGAAAAGATGCTGCAAGAAGTCAACTTCCTCCTCAACATAAGCCAATGCGAACAAAACCATTACACGTCCAAAAAATATCTCAGGACGGTACAGAGGGCGTTGAACAGGAGCATGACAAAAGGGTCATTCTCAAAAAACGTTTCGACCGCCGATCATCAAAACATCTTAAATTTGGTGGAGGAGCCGGTTAGAACGCCATCAATAAATAATATTACGAGTGAGAGGCCGAGTACAATTTCGTACACTTCAAGTTTACCGACTGCTAGTTTATCAGAAATAGAAAATAGTAAAGACACCGAAGGAGGTGACAGTTTTTGCTCGAAAAATGGAACGAGCGATGTGCGCATTTCTCGCGGCTTGGACAGCCGGGCGAAAACTTCAGAAGACGAAGACGTCAATTCGTCGAATGTAAGGACACTCCTGTCCTTTTGGAACCAGAAGTTCGCTAACAGACCGATGACAGTCTGCAATGATATTTACAACCCACAAAGGTACCTGTCTCTAACAAAAAATCGCATCAAATCAGCAGTAAAGCTGAGCTCCGACGGTGTCGCCGAAGAGCACACTCTTAAGCCTTCCGAACTGAAATACCGGCACAAGGGTGCTTCCACCATTGTCGAAGTTTTGAGGCTAAATTCGCGAAAGAACAACGTAAGAAAAACAATTTCGCAGGGTGTTGTAAAGGGAAATAGTTACGACATGGCCGATGGCAGAATGCGCATAATAAGCACTGTTAATGACGATGACAAAATTCTTAATGGAGTAACCATTTCCGACAAAAAGATGAACAGTAAGGAAAAGTTTATCGAGGTTCGCAACTCGCTTTTAAAAAAACAGACTACTTTCAGTAAAGACAGCTTGGTGAACAGGAGGAACAAATGGATTTCAAATTATCTCAAGAGCGTTGACGATTTTAACAAGAAAACTTTAAAGAATAATACCATAAAGAACGTATTTTATACGACACATATGATGAAGAAGGAGAACGTGATCCCTATCGCTTATCCATATTTGTACGTGGTCAAATGTCTTATAGAGTACACTCAAGAGACAGAGAGCTGGAAGTGTCTTTACAAGCCGGATATTTTAAGGCCTATGCCCGCAATGGACCCAATGGATTTCAGCGCTTATGATTACAACCATAAGTATTTGAACTTTCCCGATCGCCGAAAGATGTTACTATCGGACGGAACAGGAGACTGCGGCGTAGACTATAAGATGAACGTCGATAAGATCTCGATTATCACCGGGATCAAGCCCAACGTTCTGAACACGCTGCTCCAGATCACGAACAAAGGTGACAACGTGTACAATCTTACCGAGTCCGATTTGGGCAAGTTGTACGAGATCGGCAACGAGGCGGCTTCGTCTAAAGACTCTTCTTTTAAAGACAAGTTTCTTTACTATCTGGACAACATTGAAAATTCTTTTAGTTCTAGGATAAAGGATGCGTACAACAATACGGTGACGTTATTGTCTTACATCTACCAGATGAAGGAAATGCGGTTCGGCGAGATGGGAAAGCGTCTTCTCCAAAGAGAAAAAGTGCTGTACATCACAATGACGGTTAGCATACTACTTTTAGGCCTTATTATGGTGTTTGCGGCTTCAGTTTGACAACAATCGTTGCGCAGTTTTCGATTCGCCGGCCGTCACTTACCGCAAAGACGAAACTTGACATTTTAAGGTTTAAAGAATGTTATATAGTGCTTGGCCTTTTATTTGTAATATAGGTGTTAAAAATCAATTATAATATGACGATTCCATAGAATTACTATTAGAATTTTTTGCAAATATGGAAAAGGTTATCCAAATCTTTCTTGACACATCTGCATTGCTTGGAGGGTTCTAGTTTTAGTACTTAGAAGTTCGTAGCATTACCACTAAAAATTTTTGTATGTTTAAACTCGTTTAAAACCACCATAAATCAATACTAATTAAATTCTTAAAAAATATTTATCCATTCTGCACACCTGAAAATAAAAATGGCGTACTTTAATGTCCTTAAATTGGTCAATTTGAGAGACAGAACTAACTTTTTGTATTAACGAAGTTTTGCTTTATATTAACAATTTTGTTTATTAAATCCATTATATTTCATGGTCCGATTGACCAACTAACTTCTTTCAATTTATTAATCTTTATGTAAGGTATTGGTTGAAATGAAAAAGTCAGTGTCAGGAGCGGGATTCGAACCCACGATCTTCAGCTATATATGCCGCTGCTCTACCACTTGAGGTATCTTGACTTCGATCCACTCGGACACCAAATTCCCCATCTCAACCGACCTTTCGAATTTTCCCGCCTTTTTGGCATTTTTCAAATGTCGTGTAATCAGGATTCGATTCTCGGCGACAAATGAAATGGCGACGGCGAGGTTTGGTGATGATATACTTCGTTTTACTTATTAAATCCATTATATTTCGTGGTCCGATTGACCTACTAACTTCTTTAAATTAATTAATGTTTATGTAAGGTATTGGTTGAAATAAAAGTCACAATAGATCAAGTTGTAGAGCAGAGGCTTATTTAGCCGAACGTCATGGGTTCGAATCCCGCTCGTGACATTGGCTTTTTCATTTCAACCAGTACCTTACATAAAGATTCATTAACTGAAATTTGGATTATCTTTGAACAAACAAAATCTAATGATATTGGAAGTATTTTTGGAACTAATGATATTAACAAATTTTTGTTTATCTTCTTTATACTAGTATCTTTCTGTACGAATTTAAGCTTTTTATTAAACGCATGTGATTTATATAATTCAACCTACATCTTTTTAAAATGTTCTTTTTACATAATGAAATGACGATTAATCCATTAATTTGAAATACTAATATAAAACATTTTTTTGAAAGTACATAATTTCGTGGAAACATTTCCTATACAATCTAACAATTTTCGAACTTTGTTTTAATAACTGACGTATTTACTAAATTATGTTAATGAAATATTTAAAACAAATAAAGCCTTTTATTGTATTGTTTTATTAATTGCCTAAGGCATGTTTGTGTATGACTCTGTTCTGAATATCGATTACCTATTACATTACATGTACATACACTTTTTGTGTAAATCTGACCTTTCCTATTCTCAATCAGATATATTCCTCTGTTTTCTTCGAATTGTTTGTAAATTTTAACAAAGATTGGTGATTTGTGTATTGTCCAAATCAAAAGCAACAGTTTGTTATTAACTTGAAATTATGATAGTCAGCTAACTGGGATAATGGCAAACGATCATCAGGAGTGACCCTCGGGATTGTAAAATTTTCAAGGTGATGTCACCATGTGATATTATAAGGATCAATAAAAATCACGAGAGTCATACTTCATCACCTTAGCGTTACAACAAGACAATTCAAGCAGGCGACCTCGATCGTCAGCCGTTGTCCGACGTCAACCGCACATTTTCCCCTTCCGGAGGAATTCTCTCGTTTTATCCGCTTTTCTCTTATGTCTTCGTGGTGAATTTTCCTTTTGCCCGCACGCCCAGGGAGTAATGGGACGATTAGCGTTTCCAACCCTTGTTAGCGAAATTGCTTTTTTTCCCCCTCTCGTGAAAGGGAATGATGGGGAATAAACATCCACCGGCCTTTCGACGTGATCCCATCGAAAACGGCGCAGACCATTCGCAAGTTGCACATCTGTGATGGACAGGTGTTGCCCCTTAACTATTTACGCTACTTAACTCGAGCGCGTTCCTCGTACTGCGACTTACATTTAACTGTTTTTATGTCTTTATTCAAGAATATCCCTCGTTAGAGTCAATTTTCGACCTCGAAACTAAATCGAAAGTATGGCACCTTGAAACTTAACGAAGTTGAGAAAAATAGACGATAGTTCGACTTATCTCTTCTGAAAGACCTCGGATCGGGCATATTTATTACACAAACATCTCCTGATCACCGAATTAGACCAATCCCTAATTAACCCGGAGGAGATTAAATCATTTCAACAAATATAATTAAGAGGTTGTGGGTTTTTCGGGAGCGGTGCGTCCCAACAAAGCAAGTGGTCTATGGTCGTGCATCGATCATAATAGCATGAACTATGATAGATAAATTGGCCGATAGAGGCGTCGTGATTTGTAAAGGATAAAAAAAATACTCGGTTTAATTACTTCATTCCTTTACGGGGCAAGGCGCGAATCGCAACGGTCACCACCAAAAATAGTCAGGTATTCTAAAAAAATAAAATTATATTTTGGTGCATTTTGTAATTCAAAAATAAAACTTATATTAATAAACAATAATTATCACATTAGGAAGATAATTCCAGATTTTCGTAATAAAATATGTGTTTGGGGTAATACAAACTACATACAAATATAATTTTATCTTCTTTGCAGTTTAAACATATCATTTTGTCAATCGTTTTAATTAATGAACACTACATAACATTTTTTTCGTTGTCCAATTTATAGAAAGTAAAGTCTCATTTCAATTGATTTATAATTGATACTTAGGAATGTGTGGTGATTAGTGACCGTGTAGTGATTAATCGATAATTATTCAGAAATCGTGAGATGCGGTCTGGTGTGATGTAGGTTTCAGAAAAACATTTTCTTTATCGTGCCACGTTTCGATCTTTATTGAGATCATCTTCAGGGCCTGGGATTTACAAACATTGCTTACATTTAACAAATACATTTAGGATGTGGAAAAGTGTATTTATACAATGCAAAATATATTTTTTAAATTAAAAAAAATATTCGCAACGTTGGCACGATAAAGAAAATGTTTTTCTGAAACCTACATCATACCAGACCGCATCTCACCATTTCTGAATAATTATTGATACTTAGGATGATATTTTAGAAATCTTAATATTATGTACAGAAAATTCATATTTCGTATTTGATAACAACATATAAACAAATAGTATGACTTCCAATAGGTGGATGTTTATCACAAATATTAACTTTTTTTAAATTTTTATTAATGTATTAATTATCAATATTTTAAATAACACAATTCTAAAAATCAAATTTTTTAAAAAATGTTGACGATACAATAATTTTTGTACATAAGGCTGTTACCGAGAAGGTTTTACAAGAATTTAATGAATAATTTAATAAAATTTACTATGCAAAACGAAAAAAAAATTATATCCATTTCTAGCTATAAATATTATAAGAAATGACAACGTAATAATAGCTTGGTATAAAACCAATAAAATTTTGATAGAAAAATTTTTATTCGTCACATCCACTACAACAAATTAATGTATTATATAATATCGTAAACAAAATCTTAAAAAATAGTGATATTAGATTTCACAACAATAATATAAACAATCTAATAAAAACTTTTAGAGCAAATAATTACCCCAAAAACTACTCGAAAAAACTAAATGTAAAACAAACATTTAATTATTATAGGAACTTACAGACAAATAAAACAAAGATAAAGATATTATGAACAAAATAATTTATGATGATGTGATTAATTTACAAGGTATATCATAAAAAATGAACAATCCTTGACAAGAAAACGCAATAGATAACAATTTAGTGATACATCGGTATATGTAAAATACAATATGGAATTTCCTACCACTTTTATATAAAATTACAGATTGGCTCACATAACTGAAATTGTAAAAAGGCATATATATAGAAAACAGTTCAATAGTTAAAAAATAGATTATACCAACAACATAATAGCATAAAAAGCAACAACAATAGTAATGGCGCAGGTCTTTCGCTAAATACTACACGTATATAGTAACAAATATGACATACATTTAAAAATATAAAATAATTTTAAAAGAAAACAATGAGACCAGATTAAATTGGTTAGAAAAAGTATACATAAATATCTATAATAATAACGTAAATTTGCAAAAAGAAAAGAAAAAACTCTGCGCAATATAGTGATTTAATAGACATACATAAAAAAGAAAATGTAAAAATATAAACAAAAAGTAATGAAGTCATAATTATGATCGGTACCTTAGAGAGATACATGAATCAAAGGTTACACATTGTTGGTTAGTCCATTGGTATGTATAGTTAATTTTATAAATATATTATATATTAATATTAAAAAACAACGTAAATAAAACTATTTTTTAGGGGATATACAAACACTGAAGAGAACTCTCGTCATGATGTCGAAAAAGTCCAGTTAATAAAGAAAATTACATCCTGCAAATCTTCGAAATTTCTCGTTTTTCCCTGCTGGTTCAGACAGATGACTTACCTGATATTTTCTTTTTTCTGGAGCCTTCTGGATTATTTAAAACTGTAAGAATGGCTTTACTAACTCCGGCTTATGTTCCTTGAAATTTCCGAAACCGATACTACGATTATTCTTACTTAATATTATTTCGCGTTCAGAAATCGTCGGACAACTGGCATGACACTTTACAAAGGTTTGCGTAGATAATACCATCGAGTTATATTTCATAATTTTGTACTCAAAGGATTTAGGTATTATTTTTGTTTACAAATAACAGGTGTGCTATCTTCTTGTCACATCTCAAAATCAATATTTACAATTATTTGCAGAGATTAAAATTTTACAGGCATTTAAGAAACAAAAATCAATTAAACTGTACTTATTTAGGGCACTCTCAACACGACTCACACGAATGACACATCTACACGGAAACCCACACTTTGAGTCCTGAAGATGATCTCAATAAACATCGAAACGTTGGTATGATAAAGAAAATGTTTTTCTAAAACCTATGTCACACCA